GAACTCAGAACAAAAGACTGAGCTGCTGGGAATTGCCAATCAAGGTTCATTCATATGCTGTCAACACTGGCATAAGCCGCAGGTAATCCATCATTCTTTTGAAACAGTATGCTACTGTTTGCCATATTCAGAACCCGCAGATTACCAGCGGGGACAGTGGCACTCCAGCGATGAGCGATACTATGCCACTGCACACTAATCTGGCTGCATTTGTAAATACAACGCCACCATCCACCAACGCACTGGGCCAATTTCCGGAACAGAGGAAATTGCACAACACTGCACATGGGCTCTCTTTACTGGGTAGCAAGCCTGGCTGCAATACTCGGGCCTATCAGATTAAAGTAGCCACAGACAGTCATCCAGTACATGAAGTTATGAATTTTTGAACAATTTTGAAAACAAAAAATCTTGACAAATTGTCAAGCAATACGTCTCACTTGTGCAAACTCGACCTGGCAGAAAGTGATTAATTAAAACATTTCAGATTCATGTGCCGTTTCATTCATTTATATGTGTATTGTGCCATTCCAGGCTTTGTCTTCATGTTTAATAGGGAGTGCATATATGTTCATATTGGTGCGAGGAACATACCCATTGGTGACTTGCGTAAATTTCAATTTTGACTTACTCCAAGAGATGTCCCCGGGCAATAGTATGGAGGTAGTTGAGGTGTGCATATACTTCTATCACTGTACCAGTATGCCTTTGGTTTGTTGTCTTGCAGGAAGGATGCTAAGACGTGGCTTTCCACTGGCTGGATGACTCTCATTTTTGCTCTGGACACCTGTGATCGCACTGATGTCTTTGGTCTGGTCCATGATAAATTTTGCAAGTAGGTGAACTGTAAATGTCTGAGTGGGTTTTTGAACACTGGCCATTGTAAGAAACAGAAGTGGGGGAGAAATTCCCCTCAAAATTAAAAAAGAGGCACAGGGCTTTACTTTCTAGGGCTTTGAGGTCTTAACGAGCCTGTACATGAAGTGTTACAGATTTGAATTTTCCTCACTTCAAACCTGATAAATCCATCTCCGGTCCCTGCATGTTCCTGTGCACATATTTGTATACAGTAAATCTGCTACAAGGCTATCACAAGTTAACCAAGTCTAGCCACATGCTTTTTCAAATGAACTGTGAAAAAAGCATTCCTGTGTAACTTTGTTCACTAAATGTGGCTGACCCTATGAAGGAACTTGTGAAAGGACTTGTGATGGATGGACTATGGTGCTGCTAACTACAGAACCATGTTAAAAATAATACATGTAGATTTCTTCAATTTTTTGTTTTGTTTTGGTTTGGTTTTTTGTTTCACAGGGAAAACCCCAACAATACCACACCTTACCATTACTATGAGGTCAATGGCAAGAAAGAGTGTGAGTACTATATGCAGAGTGAGACGCACCTGACGTCAGGTCATGTCTTTGTCACCGAGAAGGCCATCTTTGCCCGCTGGGCCCGCAAGTTTAATCTGAACTTCCGCTACCCGACCTGGAACTTGACGCGGAATGAGTCGGCCCCGCTGGACACGCCCTTTGTCAAGATCTACAAAGAGGCACAGCACAACAAGTCGCTGCATGGGAACAAGGTGGGGGGCGGGGCACGGGGGCGGAGCCACGTCCTAAACCTCCGAAGTAAGAAGATGCCCCCGATCATTGGCCCCAAGACCAAGGAGGATACAGAGAAAGAGAAATACCAGCGCTTTACGCATGCTGTCATGTTTATCGTCGCCATCTTCTTGAGTCTTGTTGTCTTCCTTCTCCTGTTCTTACTGGCAAGTTTGTTTGTTTTCTGTTTCTATCTATGATGACAATCATATGTCATGACCAAATGCAGAATTGAAAAACTCACGTATTCTTAGGTCATTTGGGGAATGGTCGAAAAAATTTAGGGAAACGCAGATTGCATAAAGAGATCTTTTCTTTGTTCTCTTGCATATGGGGGAGCTTAAATCTGCAGAAAAGCAACAGCATTGTTGCGGAACTTTCTTGACCTAGTCAATCCAGAAATATTCAACAGATTTTTCAATGGATTCTGTTAGATTTGGTTAGTTTCAATTAAAAACAATCCATATCCCTGTCGGCTTTACAGTTGTGGGGACAGGCGGGTTTGAGCAAAACTCCCAGTAAAAGAAACAAGATTTCTAAATGAAAGGAAACTTGTTTTTAGTCAAGGATGAGTTTGTGCAATAATTAGAATGGTCTCTCACCATGGCATGGTGTCCTCGCTTTTGTCATCAAAATGCAGAGTTTAAGTATAAGGGTGTTCCGACTAATTGCCTTAGGTAATTACACATATTGTCTAATCATGCTTACTTTTACAGTGAAATATTCACCGTTAGTCAGCTGAGTTGACACACCTAAGCAATTTAAAGAGAGGCTGAAAAATATGTAATTTTCAAAACGAATTAAGTTTATCATAGAAAGATAACTATTTTTGTTAATGCGATATTATACTGTTAGTGCTGCTGTGCTTCTCAAAGGACCCCAACTTTCTTGATAAATACATGCTGATATCTTGCCGCAGTAGGTAATTACTTGAGTGTCAGTTATTATGAATATGCACACATAGCCTTTAGTGTATAGAGTCACAACAATGACATGTATCACCTATAGTGCTCTCAACCTCCAGGATTGGGATTCATGTTTGTTCTATCTGGGCACAAATATTTTCATTTGACTCCCAGCACACTTTTTTTTTCTTAGCATTCACCGGTTTCTTCTTGGAGGGCAAATTCCATGGCAGTAGACCCTACAGGTCAAAGTGGCAAACGCTGTCATTGTTGCTACAGAGAACGTTATTCAAAACATAGCATGCCACCATCTTGTGTCACAAAATACCATGCATTTGTGTTTGGACTGTATTTTTATGACTAGATGACCAGAAGAAAGGCAGGTTTGGCATTTGTCCAATATCTCAGTCGTTTTTTTGTATTTGTCACTGATCTGATTTCGTTTTTTGAGGGTGTAATAGGAAACCTCTTGAGAGCTTTGCAAATCAAATGAATACAATGAAACCATGGGAAGTCACTCCAGGCAACAACTTGCACAGTTTAGAGGTACATCAGGCCTGAGCCAGCTATGGAATTCAACCCTGTCATGCAGTCATGATGGTTCATTGAAATTGTTTCTATGACACTGATCATCCTTGTGTACATGTATGTACAAGGAGCTCCAGGTTTTCCATTCAATTCTTATTATATTGTAAAACAGGGCGTCATCACATACATGCACATTACTTGACTAAAAGACTCACAATACTTTCATGTATGTTTAATTGTAGAATCATGTAAACTGCAGATGAAATATTTTTCCTCCATACACCTGTACAAAGACACTGTATGTTGATTACATGTACTAGAAAGAAAGCAATTTAACCACAGACTGCAATGTCAGTTGTGAAACATGAGCTCAAGTACTCTGTAAGAACCACTTGTCTCGACTTTCCTTCGCTGGACTTTTTTTGTACTGATTATTTTCCCTTCTTAACTATATTCTAGGTTTCTATCCTTACCATCTGAAGAAGCCAGCGGTTGCTGTGTCCATGTGCTAGGGCCAACAACCCTTGTTAGGCCCTCGTCCATGGTCAGGGGCCAAACTGCCTTGGACCCTTTCTCCCAGTTTACTTCAGCAGCTGTCTTGCCCAATGTTAAAGAACCCTCTAGCTTCCTGGTAATTTTTGTCTGGTAAGATGTTTTTCGGCTACCAGCTGGAATGATGCATTTGAGAGGAAGGAAGACAGAGCCCAGATGATAGTTGATTTGGATTTTGCTACTGTTTCCTATTTTGTTCTATCTGCTTTGAAATCATGGAACCATTCTATTCAGTTTTCATTCCTTACTCTCATTTTCACTTGTTTATTTCTTACAGAATCCGTATTCCACGCATTCTACTAACTCATCACTCATTTCCAATTCTTATACTAAATAGCATGTGACATGTTTTCAGTGACTTCATTTTCCGATCAACCGTTGATCTTTCTGCATATTATTTGCATAATGACTGCTGCTGAAGGTCACCTGGGGGTCACTCAGATACTGTTTCACCCCTGCCCTTCATATTGCATGATGTGTTACAAATGATACATTTGTTTTATTTCTGAGTTTCTGAGTGCCCGAAATGACGAGCCATGGTTACAGCAAAAGGAGATGTAAAAAAAAACCCTGAAACGGACAATTAGCTAGAGTTTTCAGACTCATGCATACCTCACATACTCTGCAATAAGGTGTCTGATCAGATTGCCCCTTTAATAATTAAAACAATCTTTCCATTCGTAACATTCAAATGAAACTGGGACATTCTTCAGGACAAACCAGCTCAGTTATTGAAATACAAAGACAACCTACCAGTGGTTGTTATGCATTAAGGAGACACAGAGGAAGTGAAGCAGATGGTTTCAGGACCTGCGAGTAACCAATTTCATTTTGTTTGCCAACTCCCAAGAAAAAAAGCACCCCCGTGAAATTCCCTCCGTTTGCAAATTGACATTTTCAACTCTTGACATTTCGCCACACTGTAAGATGCTAAGAACAAAAGGAAGCATTTCCTACATGTTGCTGTAGTTTCTCTGCCATGGAACCCTCGTAGAGTGGCCATCTTGTTTTCTGTTCTCACATTGCCTTGAGATGCATGTGTGAACCAGTCAGGTGTATCTGACATGGCAAACAAACACTGAAAGTTTATGAGTGCAGCAATGGGAATGTTCTTTCCATTTCATGAACGTGAAATCTGTTTCATGCAATGCCTGAACAAATCCTTGTGTAAAACTTAGCATTTTCCTCTTTCCAATTTTCAATTTGAAATGAGAGATTGTCATGTTCTGATGTACAAGTTTGTTTCCAGTCATCAAGTAGACACAACGACGTAGAGTGAAATCAGTTACTGGCACTTAATGACATTTGGTCCAATCCTTCAGACTTTATCAGGCAACCAAAGACTCGTGTACCCTCCCAAGCTGTTCGACACATGACCTTTCAAACAGGTTTTCAGTTACCTGATGAAGTCCAAAAGTTTGGGATGAAATGTCATCAAATAAGCACCTACATTTAAGATCGATAGAGTTATTGATTTAGTTTTAAATGTAAGATCTATCGAGTTATTGATTTAGTTTTACATGTAAGATCGATTGAGTTATTGATTTAGTTTTACATGTAAGATCGATCAAGTTATTGATTAAGTTTTACATGTAAGATCGATCGAGTTATTGATTAAGTTTTACATGTAAGATCGATCGAGTTATTGATTTAGTTTTACATGTAAGATCGATCGAGTTATTGATTAAGTTTTACATGTAAGATCGATCGAGTTATTGATTTAATTTTACATGTAAGATCGATTGAGTTATTGATTTAGTTTTTTTGCCTGTGCCATTAACCACTTCCCACCGGGGTGCCCGGTTTCGGGCACCGTGTGTTTATACGCAAAGCCGGGGTGCCTGGTTTCAGACAAAAGAGCTGGTCTGTGTAACAGAAGACTGTACTCGGAACAAAGGACCTGCTGCTGGCAATTGCCATCATTTTTCGACTTCAGTTTTTCAAAGGTAATCCGACACATTTTTGAAACAGTATATTACTAATTTGGGTATAGCACGCCTGCGTATTGGCACCGCGGACAAAAGTGCTCCAGGGCCCCATTGATGAGCGACACAGCACCGCTAATCCAGCCGCCTATGAAAAGACGCTACTGGCATTCACCGGAACAAACGAAAATCTTGAAAAGGTCTCGGCATCTCGTCCTGCTCAAGCAAAATCCACCCCCCCCCCCGGCAGGAAGTGGTTAATGGTGTGACAAAGCAAAAGAATGGAATCCTTAGATGAAACGTTGATCCATCCATTCACCTGCTCAAACATTCCATTTCAGTGTTGCATGTTGGGAGGCATATTATTCATGACACATGGTCAGCAAGCCACCAATCGGCTGGTAGGATTTATTCAAGCATTGCATAATAACCCATAAGCCACAGCATGGTTGGGGGTGCATAGATAACTAGACCAGGATGGCAGCAGTGAATGAAGGCGTGCAGGTGCCTGGTCATTCTCCCCTGACTAATCCTGACGTATTTTAACAACAGAGCTCATGGGAAATGTTGTCTCCTAAAATGACTTTAATTTCAAGGGTATAGCGTAATTACAGGTTCATAAACAAGGTCATGTATGGTAAATTAACCACTCAGTGCACCCTCTCATGCCATAAGTACCGGTACCAAATAAGAACAATCACTTTGAGGCTGCCATATTCCTACTTGTACTTACATGTATTAGGACTTGTACATAAAGTTATTTTAAAAATTGTTCTGTATATTCATGCACTGAAGTAAAGTTCTTCATGGAGGACATCTGTTATTTATAAGATGTCAGTATTGGGGAATCCTCTGTGAAGAAAAGAATTTCCATCACAGTAGTGTTCATTGGTGGCCAACTTGGCATGTGGAAATGTTGTTGGAAGATATGCCTGTGGTTTTTATTGGATCAGTGTTGATTCTAGGAGGATTGGCCGTCTGTCTCCTTCACGCTTCACCATCCATGCATTGCCTCAGCAGCTAATACAGTGCATCAGCTGAGCCACACTCCATTCAGGCGTACTCATGTTGCTCTTAAACCCTTCATTTATTCTGACGTCAACGTGGAGGCGTTCTGGCCAACTGCATTTTTGTAAGAGGACAGGTGTTTATTTATAGTTTGTTTGTGAGCGTATGTTTGTAGTTTGGGGGTGGCTGTATGATGGGTTTGATTGATAAGAGAAAATCTCCATTGTCGAGACTTCAGGTACGTGTAGCGTGTTGTATCTGTGCATGTGCCTGGACATGTGTACCATACATGTACATGTAACTCCGAGCTGTATGTACAGAGTAGTGCCAACTTCAGCCTCTGGAACCAAAATGGCCCATTCTTCATTATGTATGCAC